CAATAGCAATAGCAACAATAATAATAATGGTAACAATAGTACAATGGTAACAATAGTAGCAATAGCAACAATAGTAACAACAATAGAAAGAATGGCAATGATCGTAACAATAGGAAGAGTAGTAACAATGGAAGAAAATTTCAAGACATTGCCAGATCTTCGACACCGTCCTGATGGCCATCGGTCGGACGGGCTGCGCGGGGCAGCTGAACGTGGAGGTTTGGTTTTTCTCGACGGGATTTTTAACATTGCTTACTGACTTACTGGGGTTAGTCTAGGGGAATAATATGGGGTTATATGGGGGACAATGGAAAAGTAAATGGAAACTACTACTTATGGTTTGGGGTTAGTAGGGAATATGAGAATATCATTTATGGGTGACGGGGATTATATTTCCTGTGTATACTAACAGCCATTAAGATTGGGGATCACAAGGACTATAGTCTGTGTATTTGATGTAGTGGGCTTTCATTCAGGGATTGTACGTTTGAGTCTTCCGTCAATCATAAGTTCCTCTGTTGTGGGTGGGATAGGTTGGGGGTGCATAGGTCCACCGTAATTTTGAGAAGTGCCAGTATCAGAGGCGAAAAGCTGTTTAGCACAGTGTTTGATGGCCCCAGGTGAAGGAAATCTGAAAAAGTTAATGCGAGCAGACATAGGACCAGCAAGGGCAGAAGCTTGGGTGTATGAAACTATCCATCCTTTTGCACTTTGTCCACCGGAGGCTGCTGGTCTGTCCTACAATGCCAAGAGCGGCAAAGTGGTCGGAAGCTCAACATTCCACTGTGCGGAAGTTGTTCTGCTTGTAGAGCACAAGCTGACTGGTGTGCCAAATCTCACACACAACAGTAGTTCTCATCGCATTTTCCGCTGTCTTTATCTTGTGCTATTGCGCTACTATTGCTGGATGCGGCCATACTGATGCGGTCAGTGTCTAAGATGAGCTTCCCCCTCGCACCGCTATCCATGGACTTTCTGTTCTCCTGACGAACCACCACAACAGTTTAAGGTGCAGAGCTTATGCAACAATATTGGCACATAGTTTTTGTTGACTTTCTCACATATTAATAAGTAATAGGACGTCGATGACAACGACCAAACCAGCGTGCCTCACATCTACGCCATCGGAGATGTGCCTTGTCGGTGATTAAAGGCTTTCTGAAGATAATGGGGTTGTTGGGAGTGTCCTTTCAGTGATCATATTTTTGAAAACATCGGACCGGTGTTTTGGTAAATCGACGCTTCTAACAAATCCTTGCTGTCTCCTGAGTTTAGCAGCAAAGAAAATCGCATCGGGAGAGGGAGTGACCAGTCATGTTGATGATGTCATGTTTCATTGCAGTGAAAGACTGCTGTAGACTGTGCACACTGCACGTCAACGAAAAGATGCTGCAGCAATTGGCAGCACGAACATAACGACTATTTAGACGGATGTCTACGGAGAAGGTTCATACCTTGATCTTGCAGAATGAGAACCTTGAACAGGCAAATCTCTTCAGACCATCCTCTGCCTTATGGACAAATTGCTCCCGCAACTCTGTTTGTCGTAGGATGCTGACGTATGAGTCCCCGCCCCATCCACAACAGCTGCTCGGAGCCACAATCTTCGAGGGAGTAGCGTGACTGCGGTTTTGATAGCAAGGTGAAGGCCTCAGCGCCTGCAACCCTCCTGCAGTACTCGAAGCTGAGGCCACAGTGAATCCAAAGACCTAAACTCGCCAGAGGATTTGCTCCCAAGATGGCCTCTGGACGCAAAAGACTAGACCCTAAACCCTAATCCCGAAGCCCAGTATCTATGTCCGGGTTTCCCAAAATTGGGGGTACCTTCTTGGGGGACTATGGTATTTTGGGGTCTACATTGGGGTCCCCCTATTTAGGGAAAGTACCATGTGTCTTACATGACCTTTACTCTCTCTCTCTCACAAGACCAAGGTCTGTGAGGGCAAGCCTGAGCTGACCCCTGTGGCCATCCAGGCAGTTCGGGTTTCGGAGCGGTCCGAGATTCAGAGGGTTCAGGGTTTTGGGGTTTAGGTTTGAGGTTTAGGCTTTTGGGGGTTCAGGGTTTTAGGGTTTAGGGTTTAGGGTCAGGGTCAGGGGGTTCAAGGGTGATTTGGGGAGACGATATAGGGGTAATATAGGGGTAGTTTAGGGATAATGGAAAAGAAAATGGAAACTACTATAATGGGTTATAAAGGGTTTAGGGTTCGGGCTACCCTAATTCCCAACATTAGGGCTATATTGGGGTGCTATTCCCTCTATTGAGGTATTATATTGTATAGGGTTTGGGGTTTAGGGGTATTATCCCAATAATGGAGAATCAAATAGAAAATAACATGGGACATGACATGGGAACCGAGTTTACCGATCACGGTTTGGTGTTCAGGGTTTACGGTTTAGGGCGCAGGCTTCAGAGTTTAGGGTTCAGGGCTTTGGGATCAGCTTAGCATCTCAAGTCCAAACATTACTTGTTAAGCAGCTTCGTCAAGGAACGTAGAAATACCTACCCGCCAACTGGGTCCCACATCACTTGTAAGATGTGAACAAGATCCATTACGCCCATTTCATGGCGCGCTTCCGTGCCTGTAAGGGTAATATAGGGATAATGGAAAAGAAAATGGAAACTATTATCATGGGTTATATAGGGTTTAGGGTTTTGGGTTCCCAAGGTGTCCAGAAAATGGTGGCATTGGCACCGGACAGGGTCACATGTTAATTGCTTCACAGGTTAAAAGCCTGTTCATCGGGTCCCCCTAAAATGGGGCCAGATACGGTCCGAAAAGTGGCGCCAGATACTATCCAAGACCGGACATGTTCCAAAAAGTGGTGTCGGACATGGTCTAAACTACCCCTTCACCCCAAACCATGAATCCCAAGTCCCATACCCTAAGCTGGTTGTTCCAACTCTGCACCCCGAACCCTGAATGATGTAGCCTAAGCCCAATGCCCCAAAACTCTCAACCCTAGATCCCTACCCTCTAGACCATAAACCATTTTGTCTTGAGTTCTATACCCTCATCTCGTTACCCCAAAACTCCAAAGCCTAAATCGTAGATCATGTGCCCCTGAAGCCTAAACGTTGCGAAATTTGAGCAATTCTGAGTCACAGACCCTCGATTGCTTTCAAGGCTACCCTTTTTGGTCTTGAGCCCAAGGCCCTAAACCTGTTAACCCAAAGCTCTAAACCCTTAATGCTGGACTATACATCACTACCCTGGCCTGATCCTTAACATAGATACTATTAACAGACTACCCCTCCCTCGAGTTTATAGAGGATTTATAAAGGGTTATCGTGTTGATAGAGGGTTTATATAGGTCTGCGGAGGAGGGTTGAAGAAGTTTGTGCAGGGTTCATAGAGGGTGTTCCTGCGCAGAGCGCGGACGCATATGTATTCCTATGCCTTAGCCTGGTACCCTGAGTCCGAGGCCATAAGCCCGTTACCCCAAAACTCGAAACCCTAAATCTTAAACTAGATTCCCTGACACCCAGAGTCCGAGACCCTAAGCCTGTTATTCCAGAATTGCCAACTCCTAAATTACAGATCTTTCATTAGACCTCAGCCAAAATCCTAAATTCCTATTCCGAAATCTCCTTCTTCCCCTAGACCCCGAAACCCTGTACCCTAAGTCCCATATGAACAACTTCTTGCCACAAATCCTTGACGTTGCCCCCTGAACCCTAAACCTTGTACCCCAACTGCCATACTGCAAACACCGAGTCCAACCCCTTGAACTTCATAGCTTACCTAACTCCTGGGCTGTGCCCCTAAACCCCAAACTTTTGCACTTTGCACCCTGAGTCCTGTACCCCCAAAAACTCTAAACCCAGATTCCTGAATTCAAGCCCCAAGCCTTCACCCCAAACCTCAAACCCTGCTCATTATGAATCCCTACAAGCCTCCCGTCTCCATTTCATAGTCCAGTTGCTTTTCGATTTGATGTTCTGTTCCCTACTAGCAACCAACCCTGAACCCCATACTCTTAACAGTAGCCAGTTTCTTCTCCATTAGCCCCTATATTCCCCTTACCGACAACCTTGAGGCCTAGGGAAGTCCCACATCCCAAGCTGGGAGGCGGGCCGCATGCTGACGCGGCGGCTCTTTGCTGGGTCCACGAAGTCCGGCACCCAGAACGGAAATCCACAATGCTGACATATCTCATACATGTATGTACAGATTTATGAATACATGTACACTACAGAAATGTGTATGCAGGTAGATATTGTATCCATTACCTTTGAAGAGATTTTGTCGTCGGTCTTCCCCGCGCTCTCACTCTTTGCAGCAGCATGATCGGCATCATGCCATTGTTGTTTTTGATACAACTACGACGACTCTGGTCAACGTTAGTTGAACTTTTCACAAAGTAGCTAACATTGCACTTACTGTTCCTGATGTCGTGAACTAGTCTGCGGATAACAACGGCGGTGGCCAATGCTAGCCAACAGCCTGGTCTCTAGAGCTGTTGCCGTCGTTGACTATAGGTGGAGTACTGCCCCCACTCCGTAACAGTTGGATAATATCTATATTATGATTATACATAGCCCTAGACTGGTGCTTGGCGGGGGAAGTACCTAGACTGTAGATTGTGGTTCGATCACTCTTTAGCACACATTCGCGGTGGCACATACATTTTCCTAGATTTGAAGGTATGGCAGATGCCTTTAAGGGAGGAAACTTCAGGGTGTCACAAGTAAGAGCCCCGCAACCGCTAGCTGCCAAGAGCTTTTTCTGTTAGAGTTCACCTTTGGCATCTGCCTGCTACTAAGCCCAAAGCTTGAAGCAGTAGCCCCAAGCTCCTCCGTCACAGCTTTGGCATTGCGAGAGGTCTGATGTCTAGTAACAGTACCGCCGCTGGAGGTGCTGATGCTATTGTGTTGTACGATATATCAAGGTTGTGATGGGCGGGTGGGCAGCGAGGTTCTTATCGTTTTGCCTGCAGGGCATAGCGCCAGACATCTGATGCAAGCATGCGCTTCATTGTGTTTTCGAACGCGGAGGAAGATGGACTACACAGACATTGCCACCACTGTCTTCACGCCCATGGAGTATGGCTGTGTCAGCTTCTAAGCATGTGGCTTGGTGACCTGCATACCTACATCCACCCTGCACAAATTACTGTAGGTTGGAGTAGGGGTTGTCACCATTCCCTCCAACCAAACCTAACTCCTCAAAACCTAAATCCACTAAACACAAAACCTGCCTGCACCCTAAAGCTTTAATCTCAAGATCCCAAAGCCGAAGACCCTACATCCTACTAAACCCTAAATCTTAACCCCAACACCTTAAGACTCTCTAGCCTTTAACCCTTAGCTTAAACCCATGCGTTTCAGGACCCCTGAACCCTATACCGTAATGCCTGAAATTATAAACCCTCGAGTTTCACGGTCAAGCCTTGGTAGCTACAACCTAAATTCTACACCACCAAAAAATCCTAAAACTTCAACCCTAAACCACACTCAGACGCGAAACCCTAACTCCTAAACCCTAAGACCCTCAATGCTAGATCGCCCGCAAACTTAAGCCCGTGAACGTTAAGTCCAAGCGCCAAAGGGTTACTCAAAAGACATTCAGCCTAAATCCTAATGCCCTAGACCAACTCTTAAAACCTTAAGCCCCCAACTCGTAAACCCTGAGCCATAAGCCCTAAACCTGAGCCCTAATGCCTAAACCCTAAGCGTCCCTGGACCCTACACAGCCTAAAAAAACTCGAAGCCAAGCCGCCCAAGCTTAAGACACTAAACCCTGACCCCTAAACCCTAGGACCCTAGACCCGAAATCCTGCACCGCCCCAGGCCCGCAAAGGCCTCCAACCCAAACGCTACTTCAACTCAAAAGCCCGTAGCCCCGAACCCCTAAACGCTATCTCCTAAACCCAAATACCAAATCCTAAGCCCTAAACCCTTAAGCCCTAAACCGTGAGACCCTAACCGCTTAACCCTGACTCCTAACCCTTACCCTAACTTCGGAAACTTAAGCCCCAACTCCTCAACGCTCATCTGCGACCGCCGTCAGACCCCAAATCCTACACCCTCGTAACTGACCCGACCTCACCCTAAATGGTGGCTTACAGAGGGAATAGTACCAAAATGGCCTTAAATTGGGAATTTAAACGATCGTATAACCACAATATATACCCTATGTAACCCATTACAGTAGTTTCCATTTACTTTTCCATACTTTTCCTTCTTAATGGGGGTCATATTGGGGTCCCCCTATTTCCCTAAACCCAGCTAAGATATTAGAATTACTGGAAATGGACGCGCGTTGGACGGGCAAGTTAATGGGCACTGGAGGTCTTCTTACCCTTACATATTACAATATATTATAGTAAGACAAATATAACAACAAATATAACATATCATGATATAGTATAGTATACTATAATACAGTACAGTATATTAGAATAGATTCGATTGGCAGTGTGACTCAACTTAACTCAAATTAGACGACGCTCAGATTTTATGTTGTGGAATGTCGGATTACAAGGTCACATGTTCCAAGGGCATGTTCCCGGAGAAAGTTCAGAGAACGTGTTGGGATTCCACTCCATTGCTTGGTGTTGGCCCTGGCAGACGAGGTGGGATATTCAGAGGAAGAGGCCAGAGAGAAGATCGGCAAGGAACGGATCAAGGTGGGCTGACCTGAGAAAGTTGTCACGAGTACCCGGCGTCTTAGTGGCCAATTCGTCTGGAGCTTGTTATCAGTCTGCATTTTGGAAAGGGTTCAGCATGACGGACCTGGTCCAGGATCATGTGGCATGATCTCTAGACACGTGCTCCACGAGCCGCTATTGTTGAATCTTGTGTGTAGCCAGGTTGTGGGGTTGTGACATTGACAGCCTAGTTTGCACATGTGCGAGCGCCAGAAAGGAGCCCGCTGACTTGGGAAACCCTGATGCGCGCAGACTGCAAGGCTTCATATGCATCACACATACAAGAGCCGTACACTCCTACACTCTGGCACAATTTCTAGCCAACAAAGCTTACATGTGCTACCATTCTGTCAGCCGAGACTTAAGCATGGAACTCCACACACGAAGCGCGAAGCTTACGTTCACATCACTGAGATTTGCATGGCAATCGCATTTGTAGATATCCCAAGTTTCTGAAACTTTGCTTACATTGGTCTCGTGTGCTTCGTGGCTTTGGGACAGAATCTCTCAGTCCAAAAGTCTCTGACTCGAAATAGAATCTACCTCAGACCCCCAAAGCTCCTCAGGCTCTGTACAGACTCCACTTTCCTGTAGACATCACCCTCACTCCTTGCAACGAAGGCGTACCATTGCACGGCCCAGCCCTTGGAGTGGAACTTGAACTCTGAGCGCAAGGACGAGTTGGTCAAGCATTCGCCGCATGGTAGGGTTCTCCGTGGGAATTCATACTTGCAGAGATTGTAATGGAGCTTGAGTTTCTGAGTTGTAGGAGAAACAAAATCTACATACGGTCTTTTCTACCGGCCCCTCTACTGGAGTAAGATCATGTTCTTTGCGCCTTATGTTTGAGGCTTGCTGTTGCGGGTTCTGCATCATTTAAAAGCATGCGCGGCAAGGCTATTGTTGGGAACTTGGTGTTGATGGGGTTTCCCCAAGATGTTCTTCAAGATTTCAGATGGGACCCATCAATCCACTTATGTTCCCCAGATGCCCCCTAGAATACCTGGTAGGCTGATTCTTGTAATTTTGCACCATTGCGAAATCAGAGTCCAATGCTCAGGCCGAGTATGCGTAACAGAGAAGTACAGTGTGAAGACAACATCGCCATCTCTTGTGGAACTTCTTACCGCACGCGCATTCAATATTGGTCCCATACCGCAGGATGACATGGGTTACATGAAGCTGCTTGTGGACAAGCAGGAGAAGGAGAAGGCCCGGGCTGTCACACTGCCTTTCAGATGACCGATTGCTGCGAGGCTGTGTGTCTCACGGCTCTTGGAGCAACAGCACTTTGCCCACAACTCTTGTCTTCCACCTGGTTTGGGTTGAAGAGGATGAAGGGACTTTATGCCCCAAAGCTCCAGTCTTAGCAGGCGTGCTGGGCTTAAGTCTCTCAACCCATTAACTCCTGGAAGGAATGAAGCACAGGGCATTAATGTCGCGGAGGTGGTGGGTGTCCATATCCTCGGCCCCAATGCTGGCGAAATCATTCAAGGCCGTGGCTGAGAGTGGGTGTGAATATGAAGCTGGAATGAGGTATGGGGCCGGAGAGTGACAGACACTTGGTGAGAGCTCATCTTCTCAGACTACCTAGCGTAGAGCAGTTCACTACAAGCCGGCGCGTTGAGTTTTCCGGTTGTGCGGGGAGAGGTCTTTACTCCAAGCAGGCCACAGAGTACGAGATATTGGCCTTCACCTTTCAACCCTCGTAATCTCGAATCTCCAATTAAGCCTGGAGCACATGCAGTCAAGGGCTGAGCGTGGCCATTCGATGCGGCGTCACGAAGGATCGCTCAGAGCATATTCAGAGGGCGCGGTCAATGGAAATCTGGGGCGGGAGGTTTCTGCTTGGAGGTTGGGCTTCGATGGTGTGGGGGCAAGCTCGTAAGGTTGGCAAGGTTCATGGGCACACAGTGGGCAAAAGAGGGCGAGGATTTTGCGTTTAGGGCAAGACTTTGGACCTCCAACAACCATGTCATCCCAAGGGCCGTATAGACTAGCGGGCTTTTCACTTAAGAGCCCTGAAGGTTCTTGCAAGTATCTGTCAGTACTTAGTAAGTAGCGATAGCAGAAGCTCTCAAGACCATTACTGCTGCTATTGTTCCTGCTGCGACTACTGTTAAGTCTACTGCTACCGATAGCAAAAGCAGTAACGAGAGCAAGTGTCGACAGTGATCATGAAGCAGTCGAGTGGTGCAACGTTTCAGTGGTGCAAGGAGCACTTCGATGATTGCGCGCTTTGGCTGCTCTCAGGGGCTTCCTCTGGCTCTACTCTTCAATCATCATTTTTAGGACTTTGGGCTGGTAGATTTTTTCTTGTGGGTTCCAACGTGTTCTCATGAGTACAGAATACAAGGTTCCTCGGCAATATTGGTGAGCGTGTAAGTGGTATCGTTTTGAAAGCAAACGCGAATATAAGTCCTAAGCCACATAGTTTGAGATATCAGGATCCTCAATAGAGATGCAAAGAATGGGAGGAATCTTCGTTCGGGTTCCTGAGAGTACCGTGGCAGCGATGTCAAACATTGCAGCCGCGGCGGGGTTGACTCCCCTAATGTGTTTATTCTTATGACTCAGAGTTTTTCAAGAGAGGTACACAACACCGAGCAGATGTGCTCTGTACCGCTCCTCAAAAGTACTTTCGAAGGAACCCCACGGAGAGGTGGAGCTTTGTCAGCGAATTGACTCATTGCCTGTTTCGGATACTGTGCTGCAAGTTGCCAAGTGTAACAAGGTGGGAATCCATCCGACCTACGCCGAGTCTTGGCCTCAGCATCAAAGTTTCATCGCCTCGTAAGCATCCACCACATGCGCAGTTTACCATCTCCTCGTGGATATCCCCCAACACAGTGCTAAGAAGCATGTTTGTGAAGAGGCTACAAGGGCCTACGCCTGCTGCCAGAAGCTGTGCAACCCTCCCGAAGGTGAACTTGTCCTGTGAGGTCGTACACCACCATGGCTGAGGAGAAGACAGAAGGTTCAGCACTCCCCACTAAGGGAGGCGGGGGCATGGGCTACGGTTGCTGTGTTGGATTTGGAAGCAGGACGCTGATAAGTGTGAGATTGGTTTAAGGGCCCGTCCAAGCTGCAAAACCGTTTAAATGCCATGCAGCCGCTGCAGTGCTGGCTTGCCTTACTAGCACAGACGCCGCGCCATCCCTGACCTCACCTTGCGGTGCAGGCTGCTGATCCTAAAGAAGCCTCGCCCGGGACTCCTGGGCGGGGCTGGGCACTGCCAACGGCGGGGCCCGCAAGGCAGCGCGAACCCGGGTGTAGACGGGAGCTTGCTGGGAGCAGGGAAATCTGAATCAATTCTAGTTACGCTGTAGGAACTTCATCAAAACTACGCAGACCTTTCGACCTTCACAAGCAGCCTGCTGGGGTAGCTCCATGGATGGTTTTCAGTTACTTGTGTTTATGGTAGACGCCCGAACACCTAGGCTCGGATAAAAACGATATATTGGCAACATGTCCTTTGTTTTGCCATCAAAGCTCGGTCCCTGGCCCCTGTACGGTTTTGCTTGCAAAGCCTTGCCATGGTGTAACTGTCTTCAGGCGTGCGCCATTGAGCCTTGGTGATGAGCTCCTTCAGTTCCTACCAGACTGGTGAGACGCTGGGGATCTCGGAGTTGGCTCAATGCTCGAGCGGAGGTTTGATATGGCCAAGTCGCCCAGCAAGGCTGAGGGGTTCAAGTGAGGTTTTGGAAGCATCTCGCGATTTTTTTGGCTTCAGGATTGTTGGGCCTAGGGCGCTCGAGTCGAGGGCATCGCCATTGGAATGCGGAACGAAAGGGATTAAAAGCCAATAGCTTGAGAGGATCGTAGGTTCCATGCGTTACAGGCTGCTCAAGGACTCTGTTGCAGATGTATTCCAAGCAGAGCAGCAACTGCGACTAGTCCTACTCGTAGTCAGTGAGAAGCAGCGGCAGCTCCGAGGGACGAATCGTAAAGCAAAAGGCATTTCGGCGTTAAGGGGCCTTTGACACCTCTGCACGAGTAGCGTGGCACACGCAAGAGTCTTTCTGTGGGAAGTCTCAGCCTGTCGGGCTGCGACCTCCCTTGGAAACCTGACATTTCTAGGCATCATGCATGTTTCTGAATGCCTGAACGAATATTTGACTTCCTCCACGCAGACAGAAAGCTACCAGGACATTTCAGGTTGTAGGCTACAAGATGCGAAATGCTGCGCCAGTCGCAGACCACGCGCTTGTTTCAGCTGGGTCACTCGGCCAGTCGGCCGACGTGACCAGTAGGCTTGTGCTTTTCAAGCTGACCCTAGCGCAGCTTCCGATACATCAGTTTGCACTGGCTCGTCTTCCTCTTCGGAGGCAGGCTGGGTCAGCTTGATCCCATGCATGAGGCAGGGGACACCAGAGATAGGTAGGATGTTTCACTCTTAAGTGCCAGTGGGTTGCATCCTTTCGCAGCAAATTCGAGTGTTTGGTTTCAGACGGCGCTTTATAGCACCAGTAGGCTTAGGAAGTCCCTTAAACGAAGGAACGCGGCAGTAATTGCCTGGATCTCTTGCGCTGCATGACGTTGACGTCGACAGGTTGAGGATTGAAATGGAGAATCTCTAGGCTCGTGTCTTGCAGTCTTCCAGCTGTTTATTTTCGACATCTGTCCTGCGCGGGCAGCTACAATGTGGTAGTGATTTTCAGCAAGAGCACAGTTGCAAAGGTCTAGCATGAGAATCTGATGTCAAGGAAGCACAAGGATTCTACAAGGGTTGCCACACCTGAAAAACATGTAGTTGCAGAAATTTGTGGAAGAAAGCATCGCGTTGTTGAAGTTCCGCGAAAGAGGGGCAACAGTCGCTAGGACACCTGGCACAAGCCGTCAGAGTAACCGACCAGACGGCACCAACATGGGGCGAAAAGATCAACGACTGCTAGGGCTTTGCATCCAGGCTCCAGCTTGCACAGGTTTGAGGAATTTTATGCTATGCTCACAAGCACATGGATCGTTGTGGTTGTTTCCAAAAAAGCGATGGCCTATTTTGGGTGTGAGGCAGAGCACCACCCCGCAAAGACTTTAAGCAAAAGGTACTGCAGCAAGCTGTTGGCTGTTGGCATGCGCCTCACGTTGCGCTACAATAGTTGGATTTTGCACGTGAGGCTTGTTGTGCATGGCATAAATCTGGCCCAACAGCGCAGTAGCAATGGTAGCTGCGCATTGCTAGCAAAGGCAGCTTGCAGCTGCCAGGGCAGACGCCATGCAAGCCAAAGTGTTGCAACGAAGTGGCTCCATGGTGGCGTCCAGGCAGAAAATTGATTGGCACCGAGCTAAGCCAAGCCCCTAGCAAGCCCACTGATACTGAGCTTGGCCAGAGATTGCCGAGGCCAAGGCCAGAGAAAAACCATGAGGCCTGTCAGCATTTCCGCCACAGGATTGAGCCCTGGCCCGCTACGAAGTGCAACTTGGGGGGTCGGTTTAGTTGGGAAAGCAATACGAGGACAAAAGAACCATGGCAAACACATGGAAAACGATAAGAGGAAGATAGCACGATAACAGCATTTTGGATCAAGAAAAAAAGGCAACTTGTTTCAGGTCGATGCCAAAGCAGATCTTCGTGGAGTGTTCGGTGCTCAGTCGTTGTGCTGACTTGGTCCCAGACGCTTGTCAAAGCATTTGGGAGTTCTATGAGGTATCAAGTAAACTAATCCTAATACCGATTCGAGCTGCACAGCATACATTCAGGATGCTTTTCTCCTGTGTGGCTCTAAGTGGACTTTCGGATGTTCTGAGGCATTGGCAATTAAGCTACATGACGACTGCGCCGGAGCAGTCTCAGACCAAGCAAGCATACATCAAGCATCCATCGTGTCTTGGCAGCATTTTGGAGCTAACGCAGCAGTTGGCATAAGGGCTGCTTGCCATCTGCATGCCCTCAAGATTCCCAAGCCATTCCTGCAGGGCAACTTAAGGGATTCCAGCAGCAGCGGCAGCAGCGGCAGCAGCGGCAGCAGCGGCAGCAACGGCGGCGGCGTCGATCAGCTCATTGCATGTCAGCTGGCCTGTCGACATCACAGCAGCAAAGAGGCTGGTCAGCGATTAGAGATGTCATGGACAAGGAAAACACATGAAAACACATTTCCTGAAGACGTCAGCAGAAGGCAAGGCAAACTTGCCTGCGCCTCCCATCATGGCAAGGTCTCCATGGCGACGTTGAGCCTTACCGCGCATAGAACATGTCATACCGCCTCATGCTAGCAGAGCAGCTTCCAAGTGGTTTGCCTCTGAACAAGGCACTCGCCAATCCACACGGCGTGTTGCACATTTGGTCATGAAGGTGCGAATGCTATGTGCAAGCACTCCATACTCACTTTATGTCAAGAGAGCTGCGACAGTTGAACATCGGCTGCTGGTGGGTTGTGGGACGCGTGGGGATGTGCGTCTTTCGAAGCGTTAACTAGACAGGTCACCTCACGTGCGTCTTCTTTTCTTGCGCATGCAGAAGGAAAGACTGATCTTCACATGTGTGTACCAAAAATGCAAAGAGACACCAGCGCATGACATCTGCTGCCATTGGGCTGCCATTGGGCTGCATCTAGATTCCCTCTGCTGCTAGCTTAATTAAACCCGCTCCTTTGGCAGTCTTAATCCTGGGGCGTTTGCTGCCTCGCTTTGGGGCTTGCTCAGCAGGAGAATCATGTAAAGTGTGAGGGCAAATTGTGCCCGAATCGCGTGCCATTGTTTTCAGTGGACCGCACTGACCCAAACCGGACCCGCTGCGACGGTGGTGTGCACTTGCATGTTTTAGCCAGGTGGAGAGCGCAGAACATGAAGCATGAGCTTCAGCCGCCTATCTGTGGACCTTGCGAAATGGTTGCTATCTTTGCAACGACTAGGACTAGGAACCACGTCACATGCCTGTGTGTGTGGAATCCCCACCGAAACAACGGCGGCCGGCACTCGATTGTTCCAAGGCACTCGAAATCATGAGGATATGATTTCCCGCCATAGCGTGCAATTCGCCACATGCCTCTACTGGCAGTGCGTTACGGTACCACTACCGAGCAGCGAGGAGGTTGGCTCGAGCCGGAGACCCTCGCCGCAGATGCGAGCAGGGCCCGGACCAGGCATCCAGGCATCGTGCCAGGGGAGGCTGACACTCCGCGTACCATTCGGGAGGCTGTTCGTGCGAAGCGGGGGAGGTTGATAGTCTCGTCCTCCCTGCGATCTTTCTCCGGTGCGGGGAATGTGTGCAAGCCGGCCATACGACGCGGGCTGCTATCCTGCTGTCGCCATGCTGGGAGCTGCATCTTGCAAGGCAGCAAGGAGCTGCGAAGCACGGATATTGCAGCTGCTGCGGGGCAGTCACCAACAACTTTGGGTCTGGCTTTGCGCCCCGTACGACGCAAAATACGTCGCGTGGGCAGGCTCGGCTGCTCTGCGCAGGGCAAAGACACCACCATGTTACATGGCCAGTTGTGCTGCCAAAACCTTCCCTGGAAAACACGACGCGGAAGAGTGCCGCTGCGGTCATGCGCAGTGGTGCGCCCGAAAAAGTTTTGGCTTGTGGCACCGCGCAAAACAGTAGCAAGGGCCGGACGACTCTGCATGTCGGGAATGTCAGGGATCCTTGCACAAAAAGGTGCCATGCTGCGTGGACAGGGCTTTCATCCGGGCAGCTACGCACTAGGGCATGCCCAGCACATGCCCAAGATGCGTAAGCCGCGCTCCGCACGGATGCTGGGGTCCCAGAGCCAGACTGCACAGCGTCCGCTGAAACTTGGGGGTCGTGTGCGAATGTCGGCCGACAGCTCGACCATATACTGGACCTTGCTGATGGATGCTGCTGCTGCCGGAAACCATGTAGGTAAAAGCAGCGAAAAATTCACGGACTTGTCATGCGCGTGTGCAAGAAGAAAATTGGGGTAGGACATTGTGGGCATTGGAAAAATTGAGGCGGATGTGGGTTTGAGCAAGCATATCATACTTATGAGGCTTGACCGCACACAAGCAGCCAGGCAGAGCACCCAACATTTTCATGTGTGTAAGCGATATGCGTACGCGTGGGACACATGGGTGGGAAACGCGGAAATTCCGAGCGGTGTAGCCTTCCAGGGCAACCCAAGACATTTCAAACAAAAGCAAGATAAGTGTGCTACTCGAAATCGTGGGACGAAAACCATTTTCCTTGATCGCCTTCTCCTTGCCTCCGGGAAAGCAGGGCTCGGAAAGCATGTTTGGCAATGCGGCGCAGGTGGAGTGCAGTGTGCTAATTGCGGCTTGAAGGTGCCCATTTTGTTTTGGTTCTACAACATCCAACAGCTGGTTGCAACCCTTTTATGGCCACCAATTTTGAGATGTTCTGGGGAATCTGGAAGATCCATGGTAGCCATGATATGGTCCTGATTGGGACTACTACCTTACCTGGCAGTGTCGGGGTTGCTCGAAGAAGGGGCCCCTTCTAGCCTCAGTTCAAGATGGAACCAGCCTTTTTCGTAAGTTGGTCCAGACCTCCATTCTGCATTGCAGCTTTTGTATAAAAAAAAAATCCGAGCGGCCAAAATGGACGTGCTTGAGATGGCCTTGTTGCATTTTATGGTATTTTTTGTTTATGCGTTTTTGTACGGTGTTTCCGTTTTTTGGGTTGCGCCATGTTTGTTTCGGATTCTGATCAGGACCCATGGTCGTCAACAGACCGTTTTCATAAGGGTTGTTTGCCCTGGCATACGAAAATCTTGAATGTCCTTTGAGTCCGACAGACACTGGCTAAATTGCAGTCTCAGTGCGAACAAGGTTTTTGATTTTCACATGTGTTTGTTGCGTTCCCACAGTGTGCCAATACAAAACACCGTTTCTGGAAATTAGGTCCTCGGCGTTCCGCTTTGGTCGGACACCCCACGAACAACCCGCAGTGAAACACGCCTCCCAGAACCGCTTCCTGCACATGCCGATAACATGCAAGCCACATGGCTGTCGCTGCAATTCTGTGCGGCGCCGAGGGCAAACCATCTCCTCCGGGAGGGCGGGCGCAAACTACGCTGACCGCGCAGCTGGCCGCAGCACTGCCGGCATGCTGGGGGCTCGGTGCTGCGCCAACAAGCGGAGGAATGTGGCGGCCTCCGATGGCCACCAGGCGGCGGCATCAGGCAGCTGCGTCCAAGGCCTTCCCCAGTTGCACGTCGGCCTTTGTTAGCGCCTCGCCAGCCCGACTGACGGGGCTGACAGCGGTAGCGTCAACCGCCTGCCGCCGGCCATGCCGTAGAGCAAACCCGTTGGCGACGCCGGAACATCATGTTCAGCCTCGCGCACGTGTGCCAAACGAAGCCCTGAGGTGGCACATGCAGCCCCGTGGTCGCCTAGCGGATCGAGGTGGCCGCGGCAGGCGCATGTGTGGGGCGCGACTGGCACCGGCAGACGAAGGCGCCTTTGGGGCGCTGGAGGCCTGCAAGATTGAGTGGCGCAGGTTTCCCGGGGCTTGCGGGCAAGCAATGCTATCCATTTCTGGAGGGTCGGGCAAACCTAAAAGACGTTCCAGTCGACGGCTGGGCAGACTGGGTCATGGCCACAGGGGCGCTTGCGGCATGGCCAGGGAGCAAGCAGTCACAAACGACGGGTGGTAGTGGCTCGTGCCTTGTGCCAAGGGGCTGGCACTAGTGGGCGCAGGATGCCGGAGATTGCGGTCCTGGGAACACCGCACCTCCCGTTTGACAGAAGTCCACCTGTGCTGTGTCGACTCCCCGCATTTGCCACAAAACCTTGAACTTAACCATGCGCGCACTAAGCATTAAAACGCTCAGGTTACAGGGACCCGCAGTTCTAGAAGCTCAGGTTTGGAAAGCCAACTTCAACGAAACTCAGCAAACTACCTCTGGGCCAAAACGCCGCCCTCCTTGAAATCCCACTTGCGGGCGAGTGCCATGTGGGTGGGGATGCGCAGGAGCTGCGCGAGGATCTTAGGTCCTTGTCCACCAAGGCAGGGTCCCTTGCGGCCTTGATCAATTGCAAGTGATGACCACCAAATCCACCAAGCGGCAGCGTCGGGCGCACACAAATCCGGGTTACGGTTTCTGTTTTTTTCGGCGGGCTGCGCCGGCGAGAGCTTGGCCGGGATCCGTGCCGGTGTGAATGGCCTCCTGGGCACCGTGCCAATAAATTTCATCGGCCAAGTTCGTGTACATATGGGTGGTTGTCAAAATTATGGTCCCTTTTTTGGGCGCCCTAAGTATTAGGGGCCGTAGTATAATCGGGACCCAAAAGGTCAAAGCCTCGTGTATAGACACATGGGCACGAAGTGCCAAACAGCCGATTCGCTGAGCTGGCACTCATTAGAAATTGTGCGTAAACACTTTTTCCCGCCATATTTTTGATGGCTGGTTCCAAAAGTATTCAAAGCTTTGCCGGTCACCACACATGTTCAAGGCAAGTTGTCAAACTTCTGCAAGCCAAATTTGCCTGGGTCTACCCCTCTGCCTGCGACCGTTGGGCATTCGTGGCTCAAAAGTCCCTCCATGAAAGATACATGTTCGCATGACATCGCCAGGCGGGAGCTGTGCCACTCGGCCCAATAAAAGCAGTTGTTGCCGTCGAATAATGGTGGAAAGCTTTGAGCAATCGGCTTCCTGCAAAACTGTCTCATTGCGAACATGGCTGTAGAAAGTGTGCTGGATCCCAAGTATTTGACGCAGGCATTTAGCTTGAAAAACATCAATCTTGCGGAGCTCAACTTTGCGCAGCCAAGCAGTATGGAGAGAGTACAGAAGGTGTGAAATCACACATGCCGAGAAAAACTCCAGTTTTTTCTTCAGTCCGAGGTTGCCATGCTTCCAAAACCGGTTTAAGGCATCAAAATCGCCCTTTGCCATCCCAAGCCGGCGGTTCAATTTTGAATTGATAGAACCATTTGCGGCAATCACGCTTCCAAGGTATGTTATAGCTTGTCTGCTGCCAATGTGCTTGCCATCAGGTCCTTTAATTTGAGCTTCCCAACCAACCGGCATGACTTCCGTCTTGTCCCAATTCAATGAAAGTCCGTACACCTTCCCAGCTACCACCACGTCATGCATGAACGACTCCGCATCTTCAGGCTTAACCGCAACTAACAAGGTGTCATCCGCATAAATGACCTCTTTAATCACTGATGCTGGATGGTGAACGTCCATGCTGTCTTTGCGTTGTTGGGATGCATCAGTAAACAGAACGGTCATCAAGATGGAAAAAAGAAACGGCGAAAGCGGGCAGCCTTGAGAAATCCCAAAATGCTGCGCATGAATTGCGGACTTGCACCCAGATGCTTGGACCGTGAACGTCCTGTGGTTGTAAATTGCCAAAAAGGGACCATAATTTTGACAACCACCCATATCAATGTTGGCAGTTTGCAAGTCCGGCACAGCCACTGAAGACAACGAGTTCGTAGCTTGCGAGCACAACACGGGCTGGATCGGGCTGGCAGCAAGAGAGCGCGCGGCCACACACACAAACGGCAGACACAAAACCCGCTCAAAACCACACAGGTGTCCGGCAATCGCACGTCGCGTGCCATAGATGCTGTTGCTGGCTTGCACCCCAGAAAATTCAGGAGCCGTGTTTTCCCACGCCTCTTCCAGCATGTGCAAGCAACAGCTTCAATGAGCTCCAGTTTTCGCTTTCACAGAAAGATGGAAGTCGTGGAGGCGGCCATACATTAGAGTCTGCCAAATCATCCTCTTCATGCCTTACAAAGAGGTGACCAGCAGACTTTGTAACCACGATGGGAGCGTTGCAGTTTAACGTGCGTTTTGGCTCTATTTCGAAATTGGCCGCATGCATCGCAGCATGGGCATAAAATAGCAGCAAACTTGATTATCATTACAAACTGGGTCATGCCAAGCATGGTGCATTGAGTATCCGGAAAAAGTATCGGTGCCCGTCGGGGCTGTGGGCTGCGGCTGCATTTCGTGGCCACTGCACGGCAAGCGGAAGCCTCCGCCACAACGGGAGAGCGCTGGCGACCAATTCGAGGTGAAGACACAAGCCCGTCAGCGTCGAAGAACAACTCAGGAAACAACGCGCAGGGCAGTGAGACGGTGGTTGGTGTTATGTACAATGTACAATGATTGAAATATCATTTCCAGGCCATGTCGATGAGTTGTTGCGTCGTGGCGAACGCAAGATTGCCGCTTGTCTGTCTTGGACAGCTTTTGCAAATTTGCCGTTAACCTTTCTTGAACGCATTTTTCAATGCAATGTTTGCCCTTCGGTATGTTTTTTTTGTTGCCTCACCAAAAATTGTTTGTATCCTGTGGCTGAGAACCGCATGCCGCTGCGCGCCTCAGACAGAGGGCGCACGCAGCTAGTCGGTAGCTGCTTCAGGCGACCAGGGAAAACAGCCGCGAGGAAAAAAAAACATGTTTGTCGGGTTTGTCCTTTTTCCCCACCCTCGCAGTGGGGAAAGCATAAGGTGAGGCAGAAGCAGAGAAAGGGAGAGAGGGAAGGAGAGATGGTCGATGAGCACCATGGATCATGGCCAGCGCGTGACACGATGCGGCACTTAGTCACTTAGCCGTCGTTCATATCAAAAAGCACGTGATGTCCACCCTAAAGCCGAAACCCCGCAAACGGAACATAGACACTGCAAATTGCTGCATAAACTGCTGCATTTACACAGCCTTACCTGCCTTACCGTCAACATGGTGATGATACATCGTTGTTGTTTTTGCACACATGGATGGCATTGAAACCGCGGGGGCTGGTATTTGGAAACAATTTGACCTGCACAACTTTGCCAACATGTTGATGACATGATGCATTGTTTTCTGCGCATCCGTGGACGGCCTTGAAAAAAGGGGAGGGGAGGTGGCTGGGAAGGGCGCAGCCCCTGCCACTTGCAAACCAAATCATCCGCATTTTTTTTTCGGATATGTACGCCTGCGTGAAGAGTCCTTGGGGGTGCTTCGCTCGCCACTTTCGAATGTCCTTTAATGCAAACATGGTACATTGTGTTTAGGGGGGGCACCCTCCATTTGCACAAGGCAATCTTCACAACCTTTTTTCTGCAAAGGCTTAGGGAAGAATAGCTCCCCGCCTTTTGCAAACGAAATGATCCGCAGAACGTTCCGTTGCTGCAAGCATCCTATGCGATCTGTTGATGCCTCTCCCGCATTATCGCTACTGAGTTGCTGCCCGTCCACCTCCTCTGTCAGACGACGACTCCACTACTTTTTGCCGGCCTTGCTACCACACAAATGTTTTTGGACATCATGTTGGATTCTGGCGCGCCATGACCACAGCTTACAGGGATACATGATGGTTGGGCACGGCAGGGATGCTCCGCTGTTGGGCACTGCAGGGATACTTGGTGGTTGGTCACGAAAGTCAGCTTCCAGTCGGGCGAGGACAACAACATTTACCTTAAAATCTGACTCTCCTTTGTTGTTTTTCTCTCCCTCCGCATCTGTCCCTCCAGCCTGCTTGTCTCCCTGCCTCCCTCCCTCGTTTCGTTTTTTTTTCTCCCGCTGTGTGCGTGTGTGCCTTGCTCGTGTTTTCAATTTCATGATTTTTGGTCCGTCTCTTTCTTTCTGTCTCTTCCTGTTCCAGTTTCACCTCATTCTCACTCTCACTGTTTTTCCCTCCCTCTTTGTGACCTCGCCCTGTGCTGAGACAAGTTTATCCACCTTACGGTGCCCTTGGGGTTGGGGAGTCCAGCGATATGCGCCAGACAACCATGCTGGCAGGCTCCACACTGCAGGCCAAAGAACGGTATATGAGCAGCAAGAGCTTGGTGTTCAAATCATAGGTCCGCCTCTTCCCTCTGCAGCTACGTTTGGGGTTGGCGTGACGTATCTGTAAAAGACAATGACAAGGAACAACGGGAGGACAATGATTTTTGCTTTCCGTTTTTTTGTCACAGGGGTTGCAAGTCTAGGGCCTGGGCCACCGCCAGCACGGAAGAAACATGTTCGCACCCCGTTGAAACAAATGAGCTTGGCCCAGGTACCAGAGACGAGCCGCGGCTGGAGCCTTGTGATTTGCAAGATGCATGGGTGCAAGTTCCAATAAGGTGTTTTGTTATCATTTTTGCCAGCTGCTCGTGAGGTCGAAAACGGTGTGGCACTATGATGTCGCTTGTGTGTTGTTTCTTCCTGATGTGAAGACATGTGAGGACTACGTCGTGGAGTTGTGGCTTTGTAGTTTTGTGATCAGGTGATGATTTAAAAGCGTCTCACATCGACCTCGCGTATGGTGCGAACAAGCGCGTGGCTTAGTTCCTTGTATTCTTTCCCTTGATCCATTGTACTTGTTGATATGTGCAGATAGTCAAGGTTGGTGTACCAATTGTGGGGTTGGACAGGTCATGCAAGCACTGGGTGGCTGCCTTGACTGACGAAATGTCCAGGCCGTTCATGTTGTTGCGATGCTGCATCATGTTTTGTCCGCGCCACGTGTGAAGGAACCAGCACGAAAAGTTTAACTGCAAGAAGCCTCAAGGCGTGGACCCAGTGAAAAACTTTGCATTAGGCGCGAAATCACGAAATTACCGTTCAGAGTGCAACATGCAGGGCGGATTGGTGTCAGCATGCTCATTTGCGGCAAGCAGGTTTTGAAGCTTTGGGAACTGAGCTACGCAAGCCGCGAGCTTGTCGGTGAAACAACGCTGTATTGTGTTTCTGTGCTATCGCATGTGTAAGGTCCAGCATTTCTTTCGGCGAACGTTGCAGCCTCAAATGATATGTTGCAGCGTGCATGTCTTTGGAGTACGTTTGCTGCAGTTAGCGGCCTGCCGGGCTAAGTTGCAAAGTAAGAAACCAGATAGGAGCCACGAACCCGAATGCAGACACGTGTCGTTACGTACATGCAATGATAACAACACCCCACGGGCGAAAGCACTTAGGAGACTTAGGTCCGGGGTCATCCCTTTCTCCTTTTTCTCCTCCTCTCTCTCCTCTCTCCTCTCTTCTCTGCTCTCTTCCCTCCTCTCTCCTCTCT